TTTGAGATGGAGTTTCACTCTTGTTACCCAGGCTGGAGTGCAATGGCGCGATCTTGGCTCACCGCAACCTCCGCCTCCCGGGTTCAGGCAATTCTCCTGCCTCAGCCTCCTGAGTAGCTGGGATTACAGGCACGCGCCACCATGCCCAGCTAATGTTTTGTATTTTTAGTAGAGATGGGGTTTCACCATGTTGACCAGGATGGTCTCGATCTCTTGACCTCGTGATCCACCCGCCTCGGCCTCCCAAAGTGCTGGGATTACAGGCTTGAGCCACCGCGCCCGGCCTTGGCTCTATATTTCTTTCCATTTTTTTCTCCAAATTTGTCCTTCAAACGTAATAGAATTAATTGAGTTAAATGAAGTTGATCCAAAGCAGCTTATACCACACATGAGATATGCTAACATTTAGATCTCACGTCAGCCATATATCACTAGAGCAGAAAACTCGAAGTATGAAAGAAAAACACAAAGATCCTTCTGATTTTGTGGGAAAGTGAGGTTGAGGGAAATAACTAACAATCACCTTTTGTTCTACAGAGAAGCAGTGAGAGCCGAGAGCTTCAGACACGTTAGAAATAATATGAAGTATTTGAATCAATTATATGTGGCAACAAAGAATAATTCTATTTTCATGGGTCAACCACTAATTGCAGTATAATGTTCTCAGCACTTTCATCTGTCGTGGCTGAGAAATATTAATGGGACACTTAAGACCAAGGCTTCAGCACAACTATTGGGTAATTAGGGCATGAATCCCCACGCATACTTAATGGTACGATATAGGGCCAGGCTAACTGTAGAGTAGGGGTGGCTTCAGAATGACAGTACAGAGGAACACCTCCTTGGTGTCTGTAACTTTAAGACATCAGATTAAATTGAGTACGTTGAAAAGGATTGTACTGAAATAGCCCAGACTGTGTTTCTCTTCTAATTAGTTTATTTACAAAGTTTAATTCATCTATTTTTCCAAAAAGACATTTCTCTGGACTGCCCTACAATTCTGTTATAGTCTTTTAGTTACTGAAATCCAGCTCAAAACATAAGTTCATTTTCCTTTTAAAAGGGAATTTATTGTGTCAAATAATGGAAAAGCCAGAAGCCAGCGTCCCAGGCATGGTGGATCCAGGTGCGTAAATGGTGTCCTCAGGTATCTGTTCCTACTCTCCTGTGTTCCCACCTGGTGATGAAGGTGGTCAACAGGAGGTTCAGGCCTCACCTTACAAGTTTAGCAACCCTGCTATAAAGAGCAATAAGGCTCTTGTTAGCCTAGCTGTGGTTACAATTGCGGCCCTAAACACATCACCTGGTCAGGGGGATGCTGTCCATTGGCCAAGCTTAAGTCCCAGGCCCACCACTGAAGCCACACTTGGCAGAATCTCTCATCCATCAAATGGCAGAAGGTAGTTCTTTGATGGAAACTGACTCCACAGCCTGGAAAAGGGGGGATGAATGTTGGGCAGACAGAAATCACAACAGACATCTTTTGTGAAATTTTAAATAACTTTTGGAATATTAATTGCTACTCTGTCTAGCCTGACCATTTCCAGGCTTGCTAAAGGAACTAGAGCAAGGCTGACTTGAGATGCTGATAGAAGCTTTGGTTCTGCATTTGAGGGTAAAAGAAGGAGCAGTTTGAAGAGAATGTGGAATATTGAGCTGTCCATCTGTCTTTCTCTCTGAGGATGCAAAGGCAGGAATGATTAGATGTACATTTACTGGTGGATCACTGACTTTTTAAAACTCCTATGAAAAAGCAACCTGTAATTTTTTGAGATTTTAGAAATGATTAAATGAATCTGCTCTAGTCATCTACCCCAATGGAAAATACAACAGACACTTATTTAATCTAGCTTTACATTTAAAAGGGTTATATGATAGAATAGGTTTCTTGGAAAATGTGAAGAATTCTGTTTCTAGAACTTTCTGTTTGGTCAAAGAATGAGTATTGTACAGTCACAAACACATGGCCAGCCACCTGAGAAAAGGTAAGATAGGAAGTTCAAATGGCCAAGAGTTTATTAAGGTGGGTATTCTGAAGTCTCATCAAACTTTAGCACACATATATTGAGTACTGACTGTATGCTGTATGATTTGCTGTGCATTGGGGATGCAGATATATTAATGACATGACCCCTGGTGTCTAATAGGGATGATCTGCGTATAACAGTTTACACATCAGATTAATTCAAAGAAAATGGGGAAGAGGGCTTACAAAGTGAAAGGTCAGGAATTTTATGTTTTTCAGTAAATGGAGTTTCATTCCTAGACCTACTGATAGAATGAATAGAGTAAAATGCAATTTTAGGATTTTTGCTCCCAAATTCCTTACAGCTAAGGGCGATAGGTGTTAATCTCTGAAATGGGTGAGTTTGTTTAGTCTTTAGTTGTGGATTGTCAGGATATATGATGTCAGACAAAATAGATTCATGCATTGATTGCTGGGTGAGCTTAATTGATTGCTGTTTCTTTCAGCTTGACTAGAGACTGAGGTTCGCTGATGTTTTTGCATGCCTAATATCATTTCCATTTGGTATTTGGCTTGCTCATGTAAAGGAATACATATTCAATTGAGTTGAGAAAGACCAGACCATGGTTCAAAACCCTGGGGATATGGCTTATGCTTGTTAGCTGTTAGCCTTCTCTGGTTTCTACACAGTTTCATTGTGACACCAAGCTCTCTGTCAACTTTCACCACGAAATAAGCACAAAAATATTTACGTGGCTGTAAAGACTGATGGATGCCTTAACATCTATGGGCAGCGCAGGGAAATAACTCATTAGAAGGATTAGAAGACCTGGGCAAATTTAAAATTATTTGTAAATGCCAGATTCTAATGAGCATTCCAACCACAGTGGGTGATAGTAAATTAATGTAAACAGGTTTTTCTTCTTTTATTTACTTTCTCAAATCTCAGTGGGAGATGTGTAGAGTTTGTGCCTGTTGCTAGCCTTGCAAGTACCAACATTTCTGTATGTCTGCAGTGAAAGCGGGAGTCTGATGTGGGGTCATTTCAGCCCATCTCAATAAATGTAGATATTCAAGCGTGCGTTTGCGAGATGAAGACAGGCTGTGTTCCAGGAAGAAAGTTTTCGGGCAAGTAGCTTCAGGACCAATCGTCGGTTGTATCAGGACAAACAGGACTTCTTCATGACTGAGGGAGCCTAGGGGCTTGTCAATTCTCGAAGCTTCCAATACATTGAAAAATGAAGGGATCTTGAAACAGGTTATAAAAATTAGATATATTTTTTCATTGAATGAACTTATGCTTTTTACACAGTCAAGTACAGTGACCAAAAGCGTGATCTTCCTTGAGGACACTTCTATCAATTACTCTCTGGACATTAGTAAATATAGGACTAATACCATGAAAGGCAGAGGGCAGAGGAAAAGGGAAGCTGGGTTTTTGGCTATGTCACTGAGCCACTAAATGACACCTCACCTGAAATCTTCAGGTAGATGCCCTACGGTTGAGCCAATACATTATGTTGTTACTAATTTCTAGGTGCTGGCTTCTTGCAGCTGGAATCATCCCAGCTGAGGCACACCTGCTTCTCCCCAGTACCTCCACCCTGTAACCATTCTTAGCACTCACACAATGCTAAGGCTGTCTTTATTTAATTGAAAGGTTAATTATAGGCGGAGGTCTGTCGTAGAATGTGTGGTTGTTTTGGTCTCTGTAACAGTAAACAAGTTTGACAGTCCTCTTACTGACTTGACTGGATGGATGGATTGTTGATATGACATAATTCTAGCTATTAGCTGTCAATCCTTTCATCCTTAAAGATGCTGTTTTCTCATTTCTTTACATTGGTTTGACAATTTATACAGCTTGAAATGCTTTCCTATGCGTCATTTCATCTGATCATAAATCCATGCGTGGGGTTATAGAACAGACATTTTCTACTTCTTCAGTGGAGGAAGCTGAGACAGCAGCCGCCCCAGGCCACCCCACCAACATAAACATGGAATCCAGGGCTCCCCATGAAATGCGTGCGACTTCCCTGGCTCCACATGGGTGGGCCAATCTAATCAGTGTCTCCATTGTTGGTCTGCATTAGGCCGTAAGCGACTGAACACAGTGACTCAGACCAATCCAAACAACAAGGATATTCGTGGTGCTGTGTAACAAGAAACCCAGGGTAAGAGTGGGGTCCAGGCACGGCTGCCTGGCTCTGGAGCCTTTATCTGCATTTTCAGGGCTCCCATTGCCTTTGAGGGATTGGCATCATTCCTCCATGGATGGCAAGGTGGCCACAGCTGATCCACGCATTATCCTTCTCTTCTCCTTTCTTTTGTAGAGCCTGGAAACCTTTTCCATATGGAAATCCAGCAGACATTTCCATTTTTCCTGGTACTGGGTCCGTGCCCACGTCCCCATCGGTCATTGGAAAGGGAAAGGGATCCCATAATCCTCTTAAAATAACCTGTGATGAGAATCAGCTGTGGGATGGGAACCACAGTAACCGCCACAGCATGGATCTAAAATGCACTGATTTAGACAATGCAGCAGTTGAAGAAAGTTGGTCTGGGCACAGTGGATTGCTGCTGCCACAGCCCCTCCTTTGTTTATGCCTCTCTGTGTCCTGACATTTGGGTGGTCCACTCTTAACACTGACTCAGAGCTTGGCCAGAAGACTTGTTTAGGTCAATGAGAAAAAAATTAAATGTTACGCAAAGGGCTTGTTTTCTGTTTGCTCTTGGGAACTGTTATGGACTGACTGCATCCCACTAAACTTCGTAGGTTGAAGCCCTAACCCTCAATGTGACCGTATTTGAATGTAAAGTTTTAAGGAAGTAATTGATGTTACATGAGGTCAGAAGGGTAGGGTCCTACACTGATAGGACTGTGTTTTCATAGGAGGAGGGAGAGATACCAGAGATGACTTTCTCTCCACAAGCTCGCAGAGGAAAGATCATGTGAGGACACAGCAGGAAGGCACCCGTTCACAAACCAGGAAGGGTGGCCTTTGTGGGTCAAAGCCATATCTATAGAGATAAGGTAGTCAGGCAAATAAGCATGGCAGGCTGCATAGAAGGCCCTTTCAGCTTGAGTGTTATTTTACATATTTGGATAAATATATAGATTCAGAAACAGTCACACAGCACAAGTAAACAACTGTCTAAGGGAAGTGCTGGATGACAATTGGTGCACAGAGTCTGACGGACGGGGATTCAGCAGCGAGTGGTGGGACTGTGGGAGCTGGAATGGGCATTCCACTAACAAGCATAACCACTGTTCAGCTCTAGCCCTTGTGGCCATGGAGGCATGTGGGCCAAGTGTTTTGTTTTGGGAATTTCCAATTTTTCAACAAATACCAGAAATCTGGATTTTTATGCAATGTTTTTTATTTTTAAAACACTGATTCACTTGGAAATAAAACACTGAACAGGCAAAATAAAACTCATTTTAGGCTAAACTGCCCTTTATAATGTGTGTTCTATACAAACTGGCTAATAGGAAAGTTAGAAGTCAGTAAACTACCCTGATGTCAAGTGGCTGGTTTGGCTGAGTTTTTACTTTCCTATATTTGTTTGGGATTTGCATATTTATAGTATACAGATGCAAATGAAAGGCTTTGCAGAAAAGTGGGTCCTGAATCCAAAATATAATGGGAAATAAAACAATGGAAAAAATATAGTGTCTGATTGCAGGTCTTTCTGCCTCCAAGCTCAGGGAAAACAAACAAAATGCAAAAACCTAATATGGGTAAACCCAGTATAAGAACTTTTCAAAATCAGAAAACAAATTAATGGGGGTTTGGACCTTTGCATTCCAAAATTATTCTCAACCAGATGGTGAATTTCTTGAATTAAGTCAGGGACCAGATTTTATTTATTTTTGTATTCAGGGCAGCTGGAAGCCTCTAATCAAGTTTAAGTGAACGAATGAATGAATGAATATTTCACATGGATTTATGGGTAATTAACATATGGCACATGTGTTGGGGGGTGCCCCGTGTGCATTATAACCTTGCCCTTTGGAGTCAGGAGACGTGGCTTTTTTTCCGATGTGCTCTTCCATTTTGGCCACATTCGTTACGTCACTTCTCTGTGTCTCCATTTCTCATGTGTAAAGTGAGGGTAATAAAACATGCCTACCTGTTAGCACTGTGAAGCTGCAGTGAAGCCTGCCCGGACTGTGCTGCATGGCCTGACGTGGAGCACTGGACCAGCAAATGTTTCCAAGGTTGATGCCTAGTTTTAAACAGTGGATTATCAGGGCAGTGGGCAGGAGGAGAGGGCACCTACTTCACTCCTCTTCAGGGACACAGATTTTGAGTTGAGCAGCATGAATTTGGGTCTAGATTATGCCAATACCTTCTTTCTACGGATTCTGTGAGAATCAGCTCAGGTCACCTCTTGGGCAGAGGTCTGAGGAATCTGGAAAGAAACCCAGTGCTATTTCCAAAGCATTGTCAACAGCAATGAGACAGATGCTGCCCTTGGGAATGATTCTTTGCTACAGAATTGGCCATTTTCAGCAACACACAGTGATGTTGTAATAAGGAGATAAAACATGTGAGTCCACAGCCAGCCCTTTATGGGGTGTTTGGTGCCTCCCAGTTGTTCTTAAATAAGCAAAGAGAAATTGCATCCTTTGTGCCAGTGGAAGCTTGTGGCTTTTCATTTTCTGCCTCTTTTTGGGTATTGTTGCTTTCATTTTCACTTTGCTCTAATAAGGAATGTTCTCTCTAGAGCAAAATAAATGCCAATCTTATGCATTTCTGAAGGAAGAGCGATTGTAGTTGGAAACTACTGAATAATTCTCAGAGTATTATTTTGTCATTATGACTCGACCTTTACTATCATGTTGCTGATGTTGGCTGGGACCTCCTGGCCCTCTGAAACACATAGACAAGGTCAGCACCAGCTCCTATTACATACTCAGAAAGGAAGAACTCTGCACTGAAATTTCTCTCTTCTAGTGGGCGGCAGGGTGAGTGGTGGCTCAGAAGGTGGATGCTCATTCTCATGGCTTCTTTG